ACATATATGTACCTCGGGTACATATCTGTAGTACCTGTTACGACAACGACCCCTTAATTTGAGCGCTACTACTAGTACTGCTCAGTCAATGGGTCGTTGTCGTATCAGGTACCACAGATGTGTACCCGAGCCTCCGAGGTACATATATGTATACACAAAGTGTACCAGACTTGTACTACAGAAGTGTACCCTAACCCTAAACATACCTCATATAAAAATATAAACAATACTAAACAACCTAAAACTACTTCGGGTACATATCTGTATAGTACCTGATACGACAACGACCCCATCTGCACTAGTACTAGTACTACTACTCAGGGGTGCAAATCCAGGGGGGACAGGGGGACATATGTCCCCCCCACGAATTTTCAGAGGGGGGACATCATATCAAATGTCCCCCCCCCACAATTTTTGATCACCATGATTTTGTGTGTGTGTGTGCGTGCGTGCGTGCGTGCGTGTGTTTGTGAAGTGAGAACCTTTTTATTGTGTGTGATAGTGCGTCAACGATTGGCTTCTTTCCCTTTTTTTTCTTTTTTTTTTTGCCAGCTTTCATTTTATTCAAGTGCATTTGAGAGCATAATAATGATCATGCACAACTTAAGAAAAATGTGTCTTGATAAATTTAGTACCTACCGTTTCTTTTTTAACACGTTTTTTTTCTTATATTAAATAATTCTTATGCAGAAATCATCAAGAGAAAGTATGTTTATGAAGGTTTAGGAATATCACTCACATTAGACACTGATTGAAGGATTAAGCTGGGAACACGAGCTATATTCAAATTTTCTGGGGAAGGCCCCCCTTCCCGTGCTCGCCACTGGTGTTACACCCCCCCCCCATTTCAAAATGGATTTGCGCGCTTGCTACTACTAGTACTAGTGAGTACTACTACTACTACTAGTAGTATAGTAGTATTAGTAATTGGAACTTACTAGTAATACTACTATATACTAGTACTAGTAGTAATACTACTAATATTAATAATATCAGGACAGGAGTGAATATTAGAGGATTAGGATATATATCTATATATATATATATATTATCCAGGATCCATAATCCTCCAGTGATCCATATTTATTCACTCCTGGGGTGGATCTCTAAAGACTATTATTCACTCCTGATAATATAAACATCATGCAGCCAAATACCCCCCCCCCCCAAACATGCCCCCAAATAACTTCGCGCTGCGAACAATCGGCTGCTTTCCCGGACAAAAATCAAAACAGTAGCTCGTCAGTTCATCCACAAACCAGGGGCAAGCACGATTTGCAATAAATCAGAGAGTCATTCCCTCTTGCTTGATGAAGCCTGTTCGTTGCGCTGCCACTCGATCATGTGAGCGTGAGAGCCTTGCTTTCGACATGTGCCATCTTCTAAGGATCCTTTTAAGTTTAGCTTCTTTGTTTCTGTCATTCTGTATTGGAATTCTCTCCCTTCGACTTTAGTAAATTGTAGATTTGCGGCTTTTTCCACTGCTATCCGCAGTGTTGCCACTGTTGATATGTCGATTTTATCAACTTCTCTCACCATCTCTGTTATAGTCCCATGGACTTTTGAAGACTATTTTTTATGAGGTCATGATGTTAGAGTCTTTGACTCCGGACTCGCGTTATTTTCGGAGCTTGCAATCTTATTTGCTGCTTTACACGTTCATAACAAAGATTGGGCCCTTTTAATATTCTAAACGTACAATTTCAGAGTGGATCTGTGAAACAGCTCAATTACTAAGAAAGAAAGGATAGAAAAAAGTTATAAAAGAAATTTTTAGCACAATTAATAACATAACTGTAGCCATAGACGTCATATTTTTTTGCGTACAGATATTTTCCCGAATTCAGACTTGATGGACAATATCGCAGGTGGTTAATTTCGCGGTCGGTGAATTATGAATTATTCGGTATGAATTAATCGCGTGTTATTTTCACGGTCGGGGACGCGTTCGCGAAATTCGCGAAAATTAAACCACCGCGAAATATACAGCGTATACGGTATTACAATAAGAAAATTACAATGTGCTTTTATCAAGAAAAAAGAAGAAAGTACAGAAATGAACAATAACAGAAGTAGCATGGCACATGTTAAATGAACATGAAACATAATAAATTTAGAGACAAGTGCAATTTATTAAAGTTTATTTTCATATTTTGTTTATAATGGTGAAAGACAGAAAGTGCACATCGGTCCGAATTATGTCTGCGTAGAGGCATCCTTCATTTGGGTAGTGGTAAAAGCCAACTCGGGAATAGGTGCTTGCAGCAGAGTGAAATCGCTATCAATCTGGTAAACTTGGAGTTGAAGGTGGGGCATTCCAACATAGGGAGAGGGGCGTCAAGCACGAGGGCAAGGGTTGTCAGCAGCATCAGGGGAGGAAACATGAGTAGCCATCGTGAGACTAAATACAGAGTCAAGAGCAACAAGCGCGTTCCAATACTGTCGCAAACGCATGCTATAAAATCTTAGAACATTACAACTTGTAATGTTCTAAGATTTTATAGCATGCGTTTGCAATACAAGAAAGTAATGCTGGTGAAGATTGGTGCACTCACCCTCTCGTAGTCAGTCGCATTGCACGCGATGTGCTTCTCCACCAGGCTTAGGGTGCGTGATTGTAGCAGCAACATGGGTACCGTCAATGTTGCCACAAAGGGCGACCCAAATTCGAATAGTCATGGTGCCAAATGTAAGCGTGCAATTGCAGTTTACTGTGTAGAGAGTGCGGAGAGCTGACACGTAGAAAAATAAACAAAAGTCGATAAAGACGGTGCGACCAAAAATTATTAATGAGATTTACTAAAGATTTTAAGCGTAACAGTACAACAGAATAAACGCAGTGCAAAACAAAACCAATTACACTTTATATAACAAAGAAAAAGAAATCTAGAGTTAAAGACACTACCCTAAGCCAAGAGAAGAATTAACTTACATGCTTAACAAATGAGGACTCTGTGTCGCTGCTCTATTGAGGTAAGGGAAAAACTCTCCCTGTAGGCGCGACATGTTCCCTTTTATACTAGCTTTTAGCCAGATCTATTTCACAAGTCCACCACACCACCAACAAGCCTTTTCAGGGGCCAATTATGGCTGTAACAACGCACGACCAGCAGTTCCCCGTTTAGCAACTAAGCTATATGAATAAATGTTCTCATTATCTGTTGGACCTTATCTGCAACTTGTGCACATCCTGAGTACCCGGTCAAACTCTCGCCATTTCACACTTTTCCGCGCCCAGCGCTTCAAGCAAGCAAGGATGGTTTGGCCGTAACTGATACACCATTAGGAGCCATGCAATTTATGCTCCAAATGCCCATTTCTGACAAACCGGACACATAGGCTTGTTGTGAAAGCGTGTTTACTATCCTCGATGGAATCTGTATACATAGCCTAGAACACAAATAGCTGCACTGCTCTTCTCAATTAGGCCTAAAAAAATAAATGATGTGTTTCCGAGAACGGTCTTGAAAAAATTAGGTAGAGTAGGTAGGGATTTTTTTTAATTTAAATTTAAATTTTTTTTAAATGTTTCACTACCAGTAGTATATACTGGACAACGTTGTTCCTATGACATTGTATACAGAATGTCAGTGGTCCGGCCGCTTGCATAAATCGAGTTTCACCTGTACTGCAGTGAACAGGGACATCAACAATACCGCCGATAAAAGATCGACGCTCTTCGAGCTGCGTAGACAACTGGGTTGTGATTGTTGGGTCAAAATACGTCGATATACATTGCATCTATTAAACTGAAAATGTTTGCTTGTTTTTTGTTTTGTTTTTTATTGACATAATGTCACATATTGACATAATGTCACATATTGACATAATATCACATATATTGACATATCAGATTTTTATATTTTTTTTATAAATTTTGATTTTTTTTTTGAAAATGAAAAAAAGGGTCGGCCCCTATTTGCTAGGTAGGGTCGGGTTCTCGGAAACACATCTTCTTTTTTTTAGGCCTTACTCAACAAGCTACAGCTCTAAACAACAGCTGGTAAATTCTAATTGCATTGCTACGATATTTATCCCAACTAATAAAATGCTGGAGGTGCAATTTAGTGTAGGAGTCTAGGTTTTGTGAACTACGTGCTTGTAATATTTAAATTTTTTGTCACTAGGTAAAAGCCATTTGTTGAAGCACAAGTAAGACTACCGAGAGAATGGCTCAGGTTCCTACAGATTCTTCCTGCACCCCAAAGGATGTGCATGAAACTGAAAGTAGTGTAAAGTCTTTTGTAAAAAATGGTGATAATGGCCTTGGCATGTGTCCATCCGGTATGGAATCTGGTGATACTTTGGGTATGATAAAAGAAGGTGACACAGTAACGGACCCTACGAAATGTTGGAGTGGCATGAATAATTGCCGAAAGTTCATGCAAGATGTATCAAAATTGAAAATAATGCGGGTAAATATAAATACGCTCTTTAGCTATGTTTGCATTGCGTAATGAACAATAAAATGTCTGTAGTCTATGTATTTCTGTAGCAAATTATAAATAACGGTTGGGCTTAAATATATATTTTTAATATTAAATAGTAAATAATAATAATTATTATTATTATATATTATTTATTTATTATCTAATAGTTATAACTTAAAAATGTGTATAGCACTTAATGGTTCAGTTTAATGTCAACTGGTGTGATATAGAATATAGTGTAGTATATTGTATATAATAAAATACTGTTAAATTAAATCTATAGTGGTGATTGCCATAACTGATAACATCAACAGTAGTTAATTATAGTCTCTATTATGTACTCTTGATAACATATATCTGCCATCTTTCCTAACACAGAAACTGAATCTGCAACCAAACTTCTTAATGAAACTGTTTGTGGCCACCCTATTTATCACCATAGTGATAAGTGTGAGTCTCATCTTCCACTTTTCTAACCATCATCCATGGGAAGGAGGCATTGGACATCAGTTCCACTTTCTTCAGGAAACCAGGTACATATAAGAAATACATAAAGCATTACTTATATAAACAGATGGTGTACTAAACGTACAGGTAAAATATTATTTGTTTTTGTGTGCGTGCGTGCGTGCGTGCGTGCGTGTGCGTGCGTGTGCGTGTGCGTGTGCGTAGTCATTAACTTATTAATTTATTTGTGTAGTACGTGGAGCATATTACTATTAGTGATGTATATTATCATAAATTAATACATTATTCTTAGAAATGATTTGTGGTTCAACTTTTGCCTCATATCATTCAAGGATATTCTTTAACACATAAGTCTCACTAATAGTAATACTGTGTGTGCACGTGGGAAAGATTGACAGATCTGCTTGTTATGTAGACGACTACAAGTTGACTATGGTGGACTGGATGGAAGGCTGGTGGGAGAGCTAGGAACCACTATCCCAACCTCACAGTATCCGTACAACTGCGACTCTCACAATAACGATCCTGACACTGACCGACTATGCTATGAGTGGCGAAATCATGCAAGCTTGCTAATGCAGCGTGCTGATCTTGGAGACACACGCTGCTATGATATCAGCTGGAGGGGCCAGCAATCAGGAGGAGCTCTTATGGACTGCTATGATCTGTCAACAGCCCACTGGTACGAGAGCAATTAATGATGAGCAAATAAGCATTTATCTAAGCAGCCATCAGTTTCACTGCTTAGGAGAATCATCTATTGTTTCTGTTGTTTTAATCTCAGCACGTAGCTTGCTTGTAGTATGGTAATTTGATTAAGTTTTGATATTATTAACCACAATCATGCATACCCACCTTGCTATGGGGGTGTTCACCATTGCATTGCTTATCTTGTTTTTATTCAAGGTACGGTAGTGGTTTTACCTACGAGCAATTTTGGCCACTGGAATATGGGAGCAGATCAATGGAGCCTTATATAAATGGGGATGTGCGGACTGGGAGGCTCGGAGGTGTGCTGCAACGAGCATGGATTTCATCCCACGCAGCCACCATCACGGTCGATGCAGACGTTCCGTTGTTTGTCAGCATCAATAGCACCGAAAATCCTGGTCAACTCTGCATGATGTCGCAATACACAGGCCTGTACGAAAACTTCAACGTTAGCTCCCGGCAACCCTGGCTCGACTACAGAGTGTGTGTATCAAACAGCATGCGCACGGTATCCACAAAGCTATTGGAGGGACTCCCCAGAGTCACATGCATGGATGAGGATATACTGTTCCACATCAGCTGGACGACTAACCACATGGGATCTGGAAATCTCACCCAAACTGAGGTCACAGAGTTAGCAGAACAGATCTGGCAGAATAACATGACTGGAGGACGTTTGGTCATCGGGGAGAACTGGGAGTCGAGTCCTGGAGACCTGACCTTCGACCCTGTCCTCTTTCCCGACCCAACCGCGATGATTTCAGCTTTGAATGCTAGAAATTTGACACTGAGTCTCGGTGTTCATCCGTACGCGTCGACGAACTCACAGGCGTTCCAGGAAGGCATCACCAGAGGCTACTGGTTGCGAAGCAGCATGATAGGTGACGTCCCAGAACTTGTGCGCTGGAAGGGAGATGTGGCTGCTACATTAGACGTGACAAGTCCTGCGTCGAGACAGTGGTTTCTCTCCCGGCTCACAACACTCTTCGAAGATTACAGTCTGCAGGGCTTCAGTATCATGGGAGGTCGGCTCACGTCTCTTCCGCACATGTTCGCCTTCGAAAACCCTGGCGCGTCTCCTGCCGACTTTCTCGAGCGCTACTTGGGCCTCTTTGAACAGGCCCTGTGGCAGAACCGCTCTCGTTGCCACCACACAGGCAGTGGCCTGGATGTGGGTGTCGCTGCAAACACGCAAGGTTTCCCTGCCACCATCCGATTGCCGGCCATAGAAAACTCTTGGGGTCACGACAATGGTCTGCGCAGTGTAATTCCACGTGCTCTGACCACCTGTCTGCTTGGCTACCCCCTAATGGCTTCACCTGTGATCGATTGGAGTCGCTCCATGGAGTGGGAGGACCAGCAGTTGTTTTACCTGCGCTGGGTTCAATTGGCAATCCTGTTCCCCATCCTAGAGATAAACTCCCCTCCCTGGATCTACGACGCTAAATTCCGCAAAGCCGTGGAAGTTCAACTCTATTTCAGACAGGCAATTATTCTACCAAGGCTAATGACTGCACTTGAAGACTTCAACCAGCATGGGCTCCCGCTGTGGCGCCCTCTGTGGTGGAAGTTTCCAGATGATGAGGAAGCATTGCTGGCAGACTCGCAGTTCATGCTAGGAGAAACTTTACTAATCGCACCAGTGCTAAATGCCGACTCACACCGGAACATTTACCTGCCCTCTGGTGAATGGCAAGATGAGACCGTATACAGAGAATCCACCATCGTCGGACCTAAATGGTTAACCTATCACACTGTGCTGGACGTGGTGCCACATTTTATTCTAGTAAAATGAAATGGGGGAAATCTGCATCAGTTTTACATCCAATCAGAGGCTCATGTTTATATTTATATACATGGTATCTGTATAGTAGATATAATACTATGACTTTTTTCATTAAGTGCAGCTAGTCGATTGCAAGCAAGAGATATTACGAAGGCATTTTGCCTAATGATTGATTACAAATCAATACTCTGTTTAACTGCTTGACATCAGGATTTTAACCAGATTGATGGCAAAAGTAATGCTAAGCTGATAAGACCCTGTCAGGCAACGACATTTACATTAAGTGAAACTAAGAGGCTATATAATGTATACAAACCTTTATTTGTACTTTTTACACACACACAACCTGTCACATAAACGAATTAGGAGGCAGTGATCTCGATATGTAAAGTAATACAGTACACCTTTTGTAACCAAATGATATAAGAAAGGACTACTTACTTTGCACTAACACAAGTTGTTATATTTTATAGTGTTTAATATTGGGAGTGTTTATATTTGTCCTTCGAATATCTGTTCATGATATGTGGTTTTTTAGCAGTGACAACCGACAAGGTACTAATTGGTATGTACCAAAGTCTGTTGGAAAAATGTACACTAGTCTGTTATTTAAGAAAATACTTATCAATTATGTGAATTAATAAATTGGCCTGTGCTCCTAATGTGTATGAACATAGCTGGTCAAAATACTCTACATTAAAATTATTAATGTATACTGTATTCATAATTTCTGTATTTAAGACCTATATTAAAATAAGAATATCATAATGTTAGCAACTATCAATACTGGTCAAGTCCTGCTGTAAAGTTCTTTTATAATACTAATATGAAATGAGATTCATACTGATTTTGATATATAAAGCAAACTTACATAAACTTATTTTTTACCTAAATCTTCGATTACCGGTGTTTGTCTTAGAATAAAGTTGAACTGTATATATAATATATACCTTAACACTAACTATAACAAACTAACTTTTAACATAATATAATGAAACCTGTTTGTCTGTCCTGTTGAATTTTTGGTATTACTAGCAAAAGTGCAGCATTCAGTGTGCATGCAGTACACAGTATACTGCATTCATGAATACTATATACAGCATACATGATTATATATTTTCATCAGTTCTGCTATAATGTGTATATTGTAGCAATGGACACGATAATATTATTCTGGATTTCAGCAAGGCTACTGCTTCTTTTTCTTGAACAGAAACTAACAAATAGGTGCGTTGAAAAATCATCAACGAAGAACAGCTCGTCATAAGAAGGCATACACGCGAGTGCAACGTAATAAACTTGTATCCTGCATACAATCATAAATCATGACAAACAACATGCATTCCTCAATTGTGTCAGCTCTATCGTCGACCAGTACTTGGCCTTTATACCTGGAATGTATCTTTGGTTTGCACCTACCACAGGTCGTAATTGAACTCACACCTCAGAAGGTACTTTATGTTCACCTGTGCAGTGTCATAGACGATGTATCTAAAGCAGATCATCAAGGAGTATAGCACTGGTTGTAACTGAAAACACCAATTATAACAATAGGATATCACTAAGATTGAGAAATAGGGGTTGAAATGGCAATTCATTGAAGTCAATGATACATTAGGTTTTAGTAGGTTTGAGGTTTCCTAATATGAATCAACTTGCAGTTGTAGCTATGATTGTCTAAGCCCGTACGCTTATTCTGTCGCTTGTTGTACCCCAGTGACAATATACAGACAATGATAAATAAGAGATTCGTCATTTTATACGACCTATAATCTAACTGTGTGCCTTTGTTCAGGATATTAGAATACATGCCCCCGAGATATAGTAGGATGGGCTTAGTATTACAAAGGTAGTAATCATAAAAATAGTTTAAATACTCTGCAAGTTAGACCGAATTAATACACTACATGAGGTGGTTGCTTATGAAATTGTGAATTGGTCCAACACCACTCTTGCAGGTTTTTCACAGACCGGTAAGGATACTCGTTGTATAGGAGACTCGTGTCTTTTATGTTGCTTTCTGTTGGCTTTCCTAGGGGTACCTCAACTCCATCCGGCAGGGTCACTTTCGCTTTAGGGTCGGGCATCGTACGACCCAAACCTGCAACATGTGAATTGAGATGGTGTCTGCGTCTTCTACAATATCAACTGAGCATACCAGTAATTATTAAATAGAGCAATGTATAAATCTCGGCTAGTTCGCTTGCACGTTAAACAGAATTCCCCACGAATGACAACGCACATGCAGAGCCTCGGGGGGGTCCAGTGATTTGAATCTGACAGATAAGCACATGTATGTATTTACCTTTGGTGCTGTGTTTTCCTTTCGGTAGCTTGGTTACCATCTCTGCCTGCTTCTTCTCATGCCTGTAACATCATAGCGTTGAGTTTGTTATCCATGTGAAGAAATTGCTGAATGCACTTTACATAAAAATTAACACGTGCATTCGTTATGCCCTGCTGTAGCCAAAACATCTTGTGTAAGTGTCTTTACAAACAAGTGCTGCAGAACGACAGCGCTCACCTGACGGCAGGTGTTCTGATGCTAAACTCACTGGCAATCGAATCAAGAGCACCCTCCCATTGCCGCGTTCGCTCTCCCTCGTTGTCTCTGTCATTCTTTCTCTTTCGCTCTTGCTCTCTTTTCCCTTCGCGCTCTCTCCCTCTCTCTCTCGCTCAATCACACACACACTCTCTCTCTCTCTCTCTCTCTCTCTCTCTCTCTCTCTAGCTTTTCTAATGTATTGGAATCAGGCCTAAGATCGTGCTCAGCACGCTGGTGAAAAAATGTGACGTTGACAATCATCTGTTTTTCTTCAAAAAGCGTGGTGTTGACATTGTACGCCTTTGTTTCCGACGGAAGGAAAATAATGTGCGAAGGAGCAATGAGGTGCCTGGTGGCTGGCACGCCCGTGGCAAGATTCCAATATTCATCTGCCATTGATTGGACGATTCATTTAACATCCAGCTGTCACCTATGGCAATCACAGAAGATTCGTCCTTGTATTGTGTGTGCAAAGTAAAAGAAGCTTGTCAGCGGCATCGAGGTTGCATCTACGCGCTGCAGTGTTCAGAGGCTCTGGTTGCAATGCTTCGATTCACATGAGGAAGGTGTCTTGCACTATTCAGTAATGTATGAGCGACAGCGGGGGCCTCGGCCTATCTTTATGAGTGTTGGCTGTGGAATGGATATACAATTGTACGGAGGCGTAAGCATTTTCAGGGGTTGTAGGACGTTGACATGGTTGCTGATAGGGTCGCTGCCGCGTCCACTTGATGATTCTGTTTTCAGGTATCGGGACCGGCACTAGGTGCTAGTTCACGTTCTAGCCGTGACTCGTAACGTTTGCTCTGAGTACTGCAGCGTCAGGTGCAGTATCTCCCGTGTGTCTCTGCATCCGTATATGTGCTTCTGCGGAGTTTATGTAGCCACCTACTCTTGAGGGTGAGATATTTGTACCCGGCGAATCAAACGTTGACACATTCATATCGTATATCGACTGTTGCCGTGCTCACTTGAGTTTTCTGTGCATTATTCGGCATGTTTTAATTTTGGCAGTTATATTCTTGGCGAATTCTCGGATACCCTCGGCAGGCTACTATAGGAAGGGAACCCCTGCAGTAGAAAATAGCTGTCCAGTCAATTAGTGAGTCTTGTGTCAACGAACACAATTCAAGTTGGCACAAACGCTTGGTCAGTAGGCCCGTGAGTTGGAGCTCTATCCTAACCACATCACACCACGTCAACGTGGAATGAGCGTGTTGTGAATAAGAGAAGAGAAGTCATGCTCGGCATGCGAACTGCAAGTCTTGAATGAAACAGAAAGTTTTACTACAATATCGCATCGCGCCTACGGAAAAAATGTCGTGCCGAATACGAATTGCCAAATGGTGCGGCCCACCGCAGCTGACCTGTCTTGTTGTTGCGCATAATACATATATATATAATACGAATATATATTATCTCCTGAACATTTGTATCTGTTGTCAATAATAGAGTTCCGTGCAACAAAACACGGTGCATACAAACAAATGCAGGCCATTGATATTGCACTACTGTCCAACTAATCTCAATTTCAAGAAGAGAAAAGATTAATCGTTGTGATATGGCATGTTCCCCTGCTGGCTTTAACAGCAATTGCAGTAGCTTGTGCAACGGCTCTGCTAACGCGTCGAGCAGCAGATTGACCGTACAGGAGAGTTCTGCTTCAAGTCGCTCTAGAAATTCGGCAATCCACTCGCGAGTATATGTCAGAACATAGGTAAGTAAAATTTGTCTGGCTAGGAGTTCTTGTTAAGTACTCAACGTGTCCTGTCGTCCATCTGCCACGAAGGCAATGACATGCGATAGTAACATGAGCTTTATGGATATGAGATAAAGTCCGTGGGTGAACAGCCCTGCCAGCATATGCTGGAGCCAATCCGAGTAACCGTGAGTGCTAATGATTTAGGCAAAGCTGATATCTCCAATATGAAATACCCGTTTGTGTGCAGATTTGGATAGTGTAAATTAACTTGCGCAAAAACCTACTAAACAACCAGTTGAGTTACGTATGACACAGTTCTGTGAGATGTACTCCAATTGTAAGGTGCACATTAATAAGTAGGCTATAGTTTTTCTCGACGCGTTTGGCCTGATATTTTAGTGGTTCTGCTGATTATTAATTAAAGCTTTATTTGCAAAGTTAGAAAAAAAAAACAGAAAAAAGGCAAAAAAAAAAGATAGTTGAGAGGTAAGACGACCACCTGCATTTTCGTGACTATATTCAAATACTGAGAGTACAGAACTCACCCGGGGGGGCATGGGGGGCTGGGATGATCGAGCGCGCGAGCGGGAGGCCGAAGGGCGCATGCGCGACGAGTCCCGATGTCGAGGTGTGCGCGGTAGCACACCGGGGAGGCGAGAGAGCGAGGGAGAAGCCAATGAGGAATACTGGGGGAGAGAGAGGGCAGATGACTGAGCATGGCTGAAGAACAAGGGAGAGGGGGTCCCGTACATCACGGAGGTACATCTACTGTGACGCCAAATAATAACCGTGAAACGTACGCCAATGAACCTACGACGTATGGGCGCTTGCTACCCTCATAGAAGGGAATTCCTACCTTCATAACATACGAACAGTTCCAGTGTGGTCACTGATTTGGTGTAATGTACAGTCCACCCGTCCACCGAGGGCGATCGATCAAGGTTGAGTGGGGATCTGCAGGCGGGGATAGTATATCAGTCGCCTTATCAAATCAGAGGAGAGCACAGTATAATTTATCGTTTCATTTGAATTGAGAGAAACGCGGTATGCAGGTGTCGTCAGGCACTAAGACGATATCGACCTTCTAGGAAATAACACTTTAAATAAGTCAGATGCGCCTGTGTTATATAGATTTGGAGAAGCGCGACCTAGCAGGTCTAGGGAGAGCTGACAAGATACACCAGCCTATGGGCCGACTTGCGCCAACATCCGAGAGGGGCTGAGCACTGGCGTCCTTGCTGGACCACCACTTAGTCTTGACTACTCGTACCTTCAGAATGTCGGGCCCTCAGTCCAAGGTACCGGGCCTCTTGACCTAGGGTACGTACACAATCTGTGCGAGTCCTCTCGATCAGTAAGGTATCGCGCTGAGGCGTTAGAGGGACTATCATCCGTTGTATGTATACCGGGGGGACAATCACCGTTTCCCCTCGCACCAAGTCTGGGTCGGGCCATACGAGATTCACATACTATTACTTCAGTGGCGACCCCGGGTGTAATGGTCGAAACGGTTAAGAGGCGTATATTGATGAAGGTTTCACACCAGGACGGCAGAACCACTAGCGGGACGCGCAAGCGCGTCCAATGATTAAACTACAACCGGGTAGGTAACATATTTCGTAGTTAATAGCGAGCGCAATCTTTATGACGCTATGTTAGAAACAATAAAGATTATTAGTATATTGTCGTTCTTACGTCTATGGTCATCCACCATTTAAAGGAAACTAAGAATTCGAGAGCTGAGCTACTTTCCTATACTCACAATTTTTACCGATTAGCGGAAAGCCTTGCTGATACCATTAGCAAAGATTAGGACATAGTAGATGGACTAGACTAAACGCCGGCGTATTATTAAGGGCATTGCGCACTGGTTAAGGGTTCACGGGTCCATCTCACTCTGGGCACATTGGCTCACTACCAATCCACCTGAAGGTACTTAACAATTCTGGCATGGTAGTGTGTTAGCGGGGCATGCGCAACTTAGGTCTCACCAAGAGGAGTTATAGAGTAAGTGGTGGTGTGGGATGGCAGCATTAACATGTAGATACAATAGATATAACAGTGTCACCGCGGCTGCACTATACTATAGCTCTGCCTCGAGTGAATACTTGCAATATTTCAGCTAGTCTAAGTCCAACATATGTGATTAGCTGGGGTGCTTACTGCTCACGACAATAAAGGAATCTCCCTCACTAACAATAAACTTGTTATAGAGTTTGATCATGCTACCTGATACATAGGTCAGAGGGATCAAGGCGGCTGCTGTGTAGCATCTAGGTGTATTCACAATGAATCACAACACTACAATGTTGTGGAGACTTATGCCACAAACTCTCACTTTCGTCATCGAACTCGCAAGAATTATGTTGCCCGCCGGCTCTAGGAACTTCCTTCCTCCAAGACGCGCAGGACCCTTTGGCGTTTTGTTGCTCTTACTAGACTGCCTCAGTGCTGGGCGCATGCCCAGGCTACTCTTTCCTCGCCGTGGGCTTTTCTCCATGCTTGGCCGGGAGAAATAAACCACCGATTCGGACTCTTTACCATTGATGGAGGCGATAACTTTCGGCACTAGTCTGGGAGTTATACCCACGCCAATGTCGTGGTCCCACAGAGGGCCAGGACGTGGCTAGCGAGCAACCCAGTTCCCGACGTCACTTCCTTATTGAGGCTTGCGACGTACTGGGTACTACTAGTGAGGTACCGGGGAGATAGGGAGTCACGTGGAGAAGGCAAGCCGAGGTCAGAACACCCTAAACAGATCATTTTTATGTAGAAGACTTCGAGTGGCTTGGGTGATTCATTGTTTCAGGAGGAGTTTCATTTGGTTGAATTGAGGGTTTACACACCAGCGCATCCGAACGCTGATCTTAGTTATAGATGCATGGGGACTACGAAGGCGAAGGTTAATACTCATTGATCCTGCTCAGTACAACTTGGCGTACTGATACTATATCCGAGTTCGGCGGTACACTGATACATGTTGAGTTTACGCACTTAAGGACTACTCCGTCGATATCGATACTACTGATGCCTGGACGATTGACGAATGAATTGATTAACATGGGTTAATTATATTCCGGGAAACGCCTACACTCGAGACAGTGCTATACGGCAGATTTTTACTAACGGGGTTTTAGAAGAACGGTACTAAACTGTGGTAACGTATGCGAGCTACCGTTTTACCGCTGTAACGTGGTGTGGGTTTGCGCAGATCGGCTTCTGGCAGTAAACGCTCCACACAGTCGGCTGTTTTCATAGGACCGATTGGGTGAGGGTTTTGACGGGTGAATATCACTACTGTTGTGTCATTGGAGTAGCGATCAGTTGCAACGTACCGGAAGAAAACTGCGTGGGTGTATTTTTGAAGAGAAAAGAACCTTGAGAACATGGATAATGCAGTCACCAGTTAACGAGAGTATGGACTCGTAGTGCTATGGCGGTTTCAACATATAGGTAGCTTTAGGCCGAGAACGGGACTTATCTGCGGACAATAGAGGAGAGCAATGGAGCGCAGCCTGTGCAATCCAAAAGCGGAGCCACTCGGTGGAACAGGGGAAAAAAGATATATTCTCTATAACCGCCACGACAGGACAGTCATAAGGGCCCAGGCCGCGGCGCGCAAACATTTACGAGCCGATCACTAATTTAGCTACTAAGAGAGACAAAAACATCGAGGTCGGGAGCTAACTGAATCATTGGTTATTTTCGTTTTATCGAGGCCCTGGCTGGTAATTGGGGATTTTAATTACCCACCTACCCGGCGGAACTTTCGGGACATATAGCGCTGAGAAAAGACTTTCTGAGCCTAGGGAGGTAGAGATACATGGGTTATAATAATAGCAAGTTAGAAATTGACACGAATAACTTATATAAGCGGCTTTTATAGTAGTATCGTTACTATATACCTTTTGACAATTATAGTTTCCATTTAAATCTTGTAACAATGAAGGGATACGGATGCTTGGATCTGACCCTCGGAAAGCTAAGTCAATTGATAGTCCCACGGCAGCGAGTTCTTGTGAGCGCATAGATGGGCGGCGGCCAAGTGCGTGGTGCGTGCTGTTAGCGCGCCGAGGCCGCTTCGCGCGTGTACCGGCACTCAATTTGTCGCTAGTAAGGCGGTAAACGTGTTTTATATAGACTTCACATGAAATGTTTAAACTAGATTTGTTAATTCGAGTGGCACTCGCGGGCAGCACTGTTTATTACTGTGTTAACTAGGGTTTCGCAATCACAGTGGCAGGCGTCGAGTGGTGACGCGCAGCGATGGTGCAGAAATCTATGAAAAATGTGCTGTGCGGCCTGGGGGTAGAAAGCTGCTTGTCCGCGGGAGAAGACCGAAGACAACGCTACCGGGACAGATCTACTTGTCCTCGCGTGGAAGTGGACAAGTACGGACAAATGGATAGCCTTACTTCGAACACTGCGGGATGGTATCAGGAACCTTCTCCGAAGAAATGTTCGTTGGGATCGTGTGATTGTAAAGTTGCCAACGAGAGTGGCAACGTACGTTTTGAGTGTCTTAAAAGATTAAAGATGAAGCTCATCGGTACGTAGTATAGGCAACAACTATTGTGGCAACGACAGACTCGGTGAACACTCACACATCCAGTGGTTACCGTACGGAAACGCTACAAGGAGGCATGAAACTTCTTGCAACCAAATTTAGGCTGTTTGAAATTTCAACCTGTGACATTGGATAGCCTCATACATCCAGGCATGTAGTGAGATTCTACTAGCAAACCTTGGCAGTTCAAATTCTTTGCTAAGTACAAGTTTAAATAGGCAAAAGTCCATCGTTTAACTCCTTCGCTCTTGAGGGTCCAAAAGTTTCCGACACTTTATCCTTCGGCATGTCAGCAGAAAGTACATTTCATGGGTCCTTGTCATAAAGCCATTAAAAATGCTAAAAGGGTCAGCCGCTAGAAACAAAATAAGTTTTTAATCGCTGCCGTCAGACCGCATGTCCTCAGAAAATGTCTAAAATCTGCCGCTGTGGCCCATTGACCTTTGACCTTGTGACCTCCAATTTGGCACAGTGATGGCGTTTCGGCAGTCGAGCCTTTTAGATTTGTTCCACAATTCTGCATTTCCTC